AATCAAGACGAGGCACAGTTTCAAGGCCGGAAGCTGCAAATCTCAAGATCCTCTTAGCATCGTCGTCGTGGTCATCGCTAGTGCCATGACTATCATCACGACGATTATATGTATATTCACATACATACAAACGTACATATATAATTTAAATCGCGAGGCATATGGCCGCAGCTCTGAAACCCCGAGCCCTGAGAGTCACAGAATCGCCAGGTCCTCGTGCCCGAAAAATGCGGTTCACACCTTATCGGCCAGAAGGGCGAGCGGGTGAAGACCCTCTGCCAGGCCGGGATGGCTAATGGGAAGAGCTGATGATATCTTCTAGTATAGTACAGTATGGTATAGTATGGTATGGTAACCGGGAACTTCGAACCCTCTGACCAGATCGTTATGCACATGTAGCATAAGCAGTGGGCAGAGTAAGCCTATACGTACATAACACACTTGCCTATACATGCTTATATGAACAAGCAAATCATATGCCAGACGGCTCAACTGAACAAAGACATTTGTGTTTGGCTCGTCTGAAGCATTTTATGCATTTGCCCCTAATCATTCACTGCTCCAGTGGGAGGATCGCTTCCGGAGAGGGAAACCCTCATACAGTACCCTAGAAGAGTGAGTCATTCCAACCTGGAGCCGGAAAACCGCCCGGCAAGCCTGAACGTGCTGCAGTTCTCTTTAAGGGGCAGCGATTAGTATTGTCAATGCCGGGACAGGAGACAAAGTGCGACATCAGGGTGGGCCAGGACTCCCCGCAGAGCTTTGCTCGTGAATGCCTGAAATCTCGGCACAAGATGCTCCTAATCGCCGAGTGTTATGAATCGTCTCGAATCGTGGGTTGCCGGTCGAGGACCCTGTGTGTGGCCTGGAGCAGAAGAAGGCGGAGAATGCAATCTCACTGGAGTTATTCAAGGTTGACATGAGCCGTGATGATGATGGGTTCGACATCTGTATGAACCACGATGATGAAGGTGATGATGTGGTGGTAAGAATTGTCAGTTTCATCACAAGAGAAAGAGGTGTTAAGCAAAAGTCAGAGACATCAGTGGCGACCCTCCTCAAGGTTGTTGTCGTGGACATCAGGCATTCACAACGGTAGCAGCAATGGAGACTTTGAGTTGTCTCCAGTCTAAAACCAATTTGTAGACTTACTTTCAGACCAGTACACAAGAGATTACTGATTTAGGATCTAGGGTGCTGGGTTAGGGCTTGCTACTCATACTGTTTGGCGTTTAGGGCCTAGGGAAGCTTCATACTACTCCTGGTGACAGGTTCGAATCAGTGCCAGCAACATCCAGGAAGCCTCCGCAGCGGTTTGGAGGTCGACCCTCGTGGTGTTTCGGGCTTTAGAGTCGGACTTCAGGGCCTAGGGGTTTTGGGCCACCAAAGCACGGTAAGTCCTACCTTACCCCTTCCATTGCAGGCACATGAGGGTAGAAGGTCTACTAAGTTACTGCTTGGGTCACTACTGAAGTCTTTTGGGCATGAACATGCGGAAGATGAAGAGGGCTCAACACCTCCAGCGATTCAGGTCTGCTAGCTAATTCAAAAGTTTCAGAACCACGCAACTGAAACCGCACTCCTTAGACGATCATTCTGTTTAGCGTTTAGGGTTTTAGGGTTTTAGGGTTTAGGGTTTTTAGGGTTTAGGGTTTTAGGGTTGTAGGGTCACCTCATCAAACTCTCTGAACCTGAGGGCCCCAGAAAGCTCACTAAACTCCAGACCCAACGCGTTGTCTCCGGAAACCAAACCCCGAAGCCCCAAGTCCCAGAAGATAAAGCGCGGCGTACTGTAGTTCTCATGTTAGCATGAAGTATGAGTATTAAATTAATAGTTGTAGTAATATTAGTGTTTGTAATATTGATATTGTTCACCAGTGTAATATGAAGCCTTAGAAAAGCAAAACGCACCATCCAAAACACACCTATGAACCAGAATCGAAACATCGGTCCCATAAGGACCCTCTATACTTCCGCCCAAAGAAACTCTAAACCCCCAAACCCCTAAACCCCTAAACCCCGAAACTCTAAACCCCTAAACCCCTATACCCTAAACCCCTAAACCCTAAACCCTGAACCCTTCCAGAGCAGCCATAAGAAAAGCCCAGCGTCTCGGAGGATCCTCGAGGTCTTGGGAGAGCTGGTCTCAGGTCCGGCTCCTTAGCTTCGCCTGATAGCGTGATGTAGGATAGTATCATATATCATACGACATATAGCATAGTTGATTTGGTATGGTATAAGATGATCTGAGTTAACATGATGTGATAGACTTCTGACTATTTCTGTTGCCGCTCTTGCTGCTCACAACCCGTCATAGTCATAGTTCTGAACCAACTACTTACTTCCGCAGCTGCTACTACTGCCACTGCCACTAGTGACTAATACGCAGAGCTGCTGGGAGCAGTTCTCGCAAGAGGCGCAGGAAACAACGACCATCTCAAAGCCCAAAGCATGAGAATCTGACAGCCCTAACGAAGACTTTGCGGCCTGAAGCCGAACATTTTTCACCCCCAAACCCCCTAATCCCTAAACCCTAATCCCCAGAACCCTAAGCCCTTTTTCACCCCTGCACCCTAAACCCCAAAACCCTAAACCCAAATTAACCCCTACACCCTAAACCCCAGAACCTTAAACCTTAATTAATCGCTAGACCCTAGACCCCAAACTCTGCACCTCCTGTGAGGCGGGGTCCTCAAAGTTCCTGAGCACTTCGACCTTCGGGAATCCGGGGGCTTTAGCGCAGGCCCCTATCACCCTTTTTGGGAGTCAAGATGTTCCAAATGCTGTAAAATACAGACGAGATAATATGGTATAATGTAATAAATATAGTACAATATAGCAAAAAAATGTACAGCCACTATAGTATATTATAGTATACTATACTATCTGCTGCAAGGGCTGATTGCTTGAGTTGGTTTGGGTTCAGGGTTGAGGGTGTAGAGTTCAGGGTTTAGGGTTTCGGGGTGGGGCGGGCCTCCAATCTTTCGCAGTCAATCGGGGTACTCCTCAAACCCTAAACCCTAAACCGCCAACTCCAGAAACCCTAAATACGAGAACAGGTCTTTGCGGGAGAGTATACAACCACAGATTGACTGTAAGGGATACTCCTATTACTGATATAGGATGTCGAAGGACTCCATTGACGGTTTAGGGAACCGCAGCAGCACTGCAAACCTGATTTGGCAAAGTCATGCACGTTCAGCTCAAGGTTTCTACAAAGTTTCAAGCCAACGCCCATCAGATCTTCGAACCGAATCTCAAAGTTGCGAGTATCCAAGAATCTTACGAGGCAGAGCTGCCCTCTGGCATGTCCGAGCCTTTAGATCCCGATCAGGTGCAGGGGGCAGCCTCTTTAGCGCGCCACGCGCGGCGCGCGACAGGGACAAGAAAGAGGCCAGGCCAGCACAGAAGCTGTGCAGAAGACGGGATCGCGAGCATTGTTCCTGATGTCAGATCCCAAGCTTGTCAGAACATACCCCAAGCCCTGAGCTTGAAAACAAGGGCTTGAGCTCCGAGTATAGTGTACGAAAATACGATAGGACAATATGCAATATCTACTATAATATGTGTATATATGTGTATGCGTGTGTATATATATATATATATATACACATACATATACATATGCATATACATATACATATACATATACATACACATACACATATACACATACACATACATATACATATACATATACATATACATATACACATACATATACATATACACATACATATACATATACATATACATATACATATACATATACATATGCATATGCATATGCATATGCATATGCATATACATATACATATAATATACATATACATATACATACACATATACATGTACATACACATATACATGTACATGCACATATACATATACATGTACATATACCTATACATATACATATACATATACACATACACATACACATACATATACATATACATATACATATACATATACATATACATATACACATACATATACATATACATATGCATATGCATATGCATATACATATACATATACGTGTATATATATATATATAACATTCAAAACTATACTAGCTAAGCGCTGCTCTTCTCCTGACGCAAAGGTGCCTGTGCGGCTCCTCATCGCAAAGGAGGACGCAGCGTGGATTGTCGGAAAGAGAGGCAGGGGCCCCGTCGACGAACTAGAGGTTTGAATACTGGGGCGAGGAGCGGGGGGGGAGGGGTGGGGGGAGTCGGCTGAATCCTTAACCCCTAAACGCTAAACCTTAAATCCTAAGCCCTAAATCCTCATTGGTCAAGGCTTAGGGTTTAGACTCGAGCTCTAAACCATGGTCTGAAGCTTTTCAGCTGCGATCCGCCGGTCTAAGGCAGGAGTCGAGCTGAAAGATGTCCGGATTTCTCAGGTGGTTGCGCCGTATCCTTACAACTCGTAACCGAGAATCCTAGCACCCCAAGCCCAGAGTTTGTGGGAGAAAGCTTCCTGGACACCTCAATCACGAAATTATTGAGCAGCAAATTCTCCCAACGAGAAGTTTTCAACAAGCAAGTCCCCAAGCAACTCTTTCACTCTCGTGGTTGCTCACTGCTGCCTCTTCGCGTGAGATTTCTTGTGTCTCCTTGCACAGGCAACAAAATCGCGCGCCTCCGTGACCACGCCAAAGTTGGGCCCTTGGCTGGTTGGGCTTCCCCTTGCTGCCACTGTGCGTGGTTTTTGTGGTCATCAAGGCAGCTTCCAAGTAAGGCCAGCCTTACCAGTGGTGGAAATCAGCAGCTTGCAGTATGTGCCTTGTTGAGGAACCGGTGCCGAATTCAGTGATCGGTCTTTCGATGGCCCGTTTTCAGCCTGAATCCACAGTCGCTGTAGGCTTTTCTGTCCGAGGCACATGTTGGAATTGGTTGGAGTTCTGTTTGTGCACATACCTGCTCATCTGCAGGAGCTTTCACTTCTCATTCTGTTCCTTACCTCGGTGCTCTTTTGACGCAGCCTCTGAAGCCATGATAAAGGCGTTCTTCGCCCTTACCGTTCCTCCTTGGGCGTGTCTGGGCTTGTCGGGCTGTGAGGACTCAACCGACTTAACCTGTATTTTGCAGACGAACATGGGGGAGCTTTCGGCAGACACTGCCACAAGTACCGGGGCCTCGATTGCCAGGGACGTGCTTTTCTTCTTGGGCCGCAAGCCCATGCCGGAGCTCATCCAGTACAGCGAGGAGGAGCTGCGGAATTCGGCCATCAGTGACTTGGAGCCAAGATGCTCCACACCGCTATCATCCATACAGAGTCTGAGCACAGACGAGGTCGCATATGCTCTCCTGGTCGAGTCGATCCTGTCGCGGGACCCGACGGGTCATTCGGGATTGACCGGCATGAGCTTAGAAGACCAGCGGAACACGCTCATCGTGGCGAACAATCAGAGGCTCCGTAACAAGTCAATTGCAGAACTGCAGGCGTTGAATTCCTACCAGAACAGTCGCCTAGCTTACGATTGGCTTCTTCCAGCGCTTGCCAGCCCCCTCATCGACAGCATTGGAAACCTGGCACTGGGCACAGCGACGTTCCAAGCGTCTGCGCTGAACAACATCTCCAGTCCTCCCTCTACTGTTGGCATGGATGTGGCGTGCATTCGCTACCATGACGGATTGAAGAAATGGATCGCAGTGTACCACAAGCAACAACCGCCTGACGATCTCTTTGATCTTTATGTCGCAGTGGGGCCCAGCCCAAATTCCCTCGAAGTGACAGCGGTTCTTGGGACAAAGGCCTCCATGGGCCAGTTCCACTTCCTTGGGGGCGGAGTGCTACTCCTCTATGAGCAGAACAAATGTGGCGGGCCCTCGGTCGCGGTGGCCTACTACGAAAGCCTGGAAGATTTCCTAAGTGGGCAGAGCGACCCGAAGACGTTTGTGTCCCAGCAGACCTTAGGCGGGAGTGCCGAAGGCACGCCATCGCTCACCGTCCTCGATGAGACGGCAGATGAGTTGACCATCGGCATGCACTGCTACATAAGTAAAGATGGTAGGAAGGTTGACCAACAGGCCGGGGTATGTCCGGTGTCTTGCCGTTGTCCACGTGCTTCAGGCGAAATAGAAAGCCACCAGTGTGAAACTCACATTGTGAGAAATCCAGTGTTTTTCAGCCAGTTGTCAGTAGACCCAGTGCAGTGTCGACGGTCGTCTCTCCTGTGTTCAATCGGAACTAAACTTTGCCTGCATTCCCGAGTTTCTGCATCAAGAACACCCAGATGACGACTGCCGCTTCCACCGCAGCTCTTGCGTGTTCACCCGTGGCCGTCTACTTCAAGAACCCAGACCATCTGTACTGTTTTCGTCTTCATGTTTGTGGTCCTGCTGCAATTGCTAAGACGCTGCTCTCCTGCGGGTTTTCTTTTGCCGCAAGGATTGCTCTTGCCGACATGGCCATAACCCCGTGCATCAGGATTCTTCGTCATGAGTGAGCCAGGGTAAGTTAGAAGTGTATGCTGCCATCAAGTTCGGTGGCGCTTTCCCATCGCCACGGTCAGCAGAACTTATCTTTTAGTGCCGTCTTGCCATTCTGTTTTGGGCATCAGTAACACCACAACTCTACAAACCCCGCACAAAGTCGCACGCCTGTACTGTTTCGCGCTGCAGCTCCGACGGCTTCACATGAGGAACACCAGTAGCGACTCAGTAGCTCATGTACATTGCACGTGAACTGTTGGATGTGGCTACAGTGAGGAATCGCGGCTTGTCGCCAGTGAACACCAGCATAGTGTCGAATATGACGAACACCTCCTTAAAGCTTGTATGGAAGCACCCACTTCTGAAAATGCCTAAAGCAGTTCATGTCCCAAAGGAGCGCTATGAGCCCGTCCATTGACAGAGAATCCCAAACCCGAAAGCTTCGACCCAAGCCTTCAACCCTAAACCTTAAGCGACCAGCATCCCTCAGAGTTCCCGCAGCCTTCCGTCCGCGCTCGCAGGCGGTGGCAGTGCTTAGTGGGTTCCTTCGAGGCTCGAGTACAGACTGGCAGTGGCAAGCGCAACTGCTCAAAGTGGCGACTCGGAGCTTCTCAGGTTCTCGGAAGTGATGTTCATGCTTGATTAGTATGGTATATTCGTATAGACAGTCGATTGCAAAAACGAAAATCCAAGAGTTTACACCGTGCCTCTAAGAAAGCCCAGGTGAATGATTGGCTTCCGGAGGACGGCTTCACAGGGAAATTGGGCTCACGGAGTTCGTTCTACTGGACCGAAGAGCGGTGGTTTATCATGGAAGCTCAGGGCGAGCTGGACAACTGGTACACTTGGAGGATCTTTTTGGGTGATGGGCTCGGGTTCGTAAAGGTACCGATTCGCATGGCATCCAACTCCACCGCCAATCCAGTCTTCACTACCTTCTCGAACTCCTCCGAGCGAGTGGCCGTCAGCACCTTCTTCATCCCATCCGAGGGTTCAGGCCCTAACCAGGCTGGTGAGTTGGTGCACATCTTCCCACTTCCGTGACATCAGCCCGAAGCGCGAAGCCCAAAGTGGCGGGTGCTCATGTGCTGTGACACCTCGGCGCTTTTGCAGGGAAAGATGAGCAGATGAGAAGCCTTTTGAGGGTGACTTTCGAGAGGGCCCTACGTTTTGTAAAGGGCCTCCTGCCAGCCAGGTTCGTTGATTGCCGGAGTCGTCCCCGCGTAAGAAACACGAACCCTCCACCCTACACCCTAGACCAGCAACCCCAAAACCCATAACCCCAAACTGGTGTACACCTAAGCCCAACCCCTTAAGTCCTACACCATGACTCAGCCGGCCATCTTGCGCGCAAGGCTATGTGTTGCTCTGGTCTGAACTCTCCTATCACATTGCTACAGTGCTAGGTTTGGTTTTCATGACCATCAGCATGACCATGATGACGACAAGCAATTCATCATGTCATGGCCAGCATCACCATCGTCATGGTCGCCAAGAGCATCATCATACTTGTCGTCGTCGTCATCCTCACTGCAAGCGTTGGCGGTCAATGGCGTCATTGGCCAGACGCCCTTCCAGAGCTTGATCACCCCAAGAATTGCTGACAAACCACAGCCGAAATCTTGCAAACAACAGAACAAGCGCAACGAACCTCAGGTAAACATGGGTGAGGCGGATGCCCCACCATTCGATCCAGAGGAGTGTAGGATTATACTGTACACTATCATAACTCATATTCTAAATTTCCAGGCCGTTAGTCGAGGGCTTCTAGGATGTAGTAGTAGCCCTAGTAGGAGTGGGGGGGCGTAGGCCTCGGAGGAGCAACAGCAGGACACGTAGGAGTGGTAGGAGTACTGGGAGTAGTAGGAGTAGTCGGAGCAGTAGGAGTGGTAGACGTAGTAGTAGTAGTAGTAGTAGTAGTAGTAGTAGTAGTAGTAGTAGTAGTAGTTGTAGTAGTAGTGGTAGCGATAGCGGTAGCAGTAGCAGTGACAGTCGCAGTCACAGTGGCAGTGGCAGTGGCAGTAGCAGTAACAGTAGTAGCAATGGTAGTAGTAGCAATGGTAGTAGTAGTAGCAGCAGCAGGAGGAGTAGGAGTAGGAGTAGGAGTCGCAGTTGCAGTAGGAGTAGGAGTAGGAGTCGCAGTTGCAGTAGGAGGAGGAGTAGGAGTCGCAGTTGCAGTAGGAGTAGGAGTCGGAGTAGGAGTCGGAGTAGGAGTAGGAGTAGGAGTAGGAGTAGGAGGAGTAGGAGGAGTAGGAGGAGTAGGAGGAGTAGGAGGAGTAGGAGGAGTAGGAGGAGTAGTAGTAGTAGTAGTAGTAGTAGTAGTAGTAGTAGTAGTAGCAGCAGCAGCAGTAGCCGCAGTAGCCGCATTGGCAGCAGCATCAGGTACAAGTAGCAGCAGCAGAAGCACTAGTGCAGCACTGAGCAGCCGTAGCAATGTTCGCAAAATGGCAGTGGCAACTATCAACAACGATTATAACAGCAGGTGCAGCAAGAGTGCGAACGGAGCAATGCCAATATGAACAGCACAATCCTTTTCTGAGGACTCGCACGAGTATTGGTAATGGTAGTCATAAGCATCACGTTGCATAGTCAGAAGAATCGCAACGGCCATGCTGTGACTGTGCCAATTTTGCCGGTCAAAACCCTGAACCCTCAGAACACCCTAAACGCTAAATCCTAAACTCGAAATCCGAAGCCTCACTCTCAAGCTGCTTGGAGGAGCGGTTTCTTGACATCTCCGCTGCTAGCCTCGAGGCCCACTCCGCTTCTCCGGTTTGCATGCCTTCGAAAGAAGAGATCGTACTAACAAGCGCGCTCCCTCCCTCACTCCCTCACTCCCTCACTCACTTGTGTAAAGCATATGTGATTATGTATCTCGCGGGATCTTTGGCAAAGTGGGGGTTCGAAAGCAAGCTTTACCGAAGTTGTTTCTGCTCATGGGCAAGCCTCCCTGGTACTCATTGATAGGTTTCTCTCTCACACACTCTTTCAAACCTTTGTTCTGCATGCACAATGCTTGTGTATGTGTCTATGATTCACAGACAGCTGCATGTGTATGTGTACATACTTGGTTGCAGCGGGCTGTTCTAGAGAGGGCTTGAAACCCCTACCCAACCCCGAGTCTAACCGAACCCCATGCCCGAAAACAGAAGATTCCCAAACCTGAAAGCCGGCCCTCAACCCCTAAACCCTCAACCCTGCACCGTATTCCCATAGCCTTATTCCCTGAAGACTCAGACCCCAAACCCTAAAGCTAGACAGGAGCGGCTCAAGGTGGTCCAGCTCGTCGGGGTGCTCAGGAAGGGTTTTACAAGGGATTGTAGGGCTTCAGAAGGTTGTGTCAGCGTCTCAGAAGGCTTTACAAGAAAGGCGTTGTCAGGCCCTTGAGGTTGTTATCATGCTTGGTTGCTGTTTCTGTTTGCCTATGCTGTTGGCCACTGGTATGAACGAAAGTCCGAAGACATGATACGCAGTAATTATTATGGCAAAAGAGAACTTGCACCTTCACAAGGTAGGGAACTCTGGCCTATACTAAGTCCTAACCCCCAGCCCCCAAAACACTTAAACCTCTAACCGCAAACACCCAAAACCGTAAGCCCTTAAACCCCTACACCCTCAACCCTAAACCCTGTGGAACCCATAGACCCTAACCCCCCAACCCTAAACCCTATGAAGCCCATGAACTTAAGACCCAGTAAAGCCATCAAGATCGAGGTGCTCGAAGACCTCACTTCGCGGCCTGAGGCCAAACGAGCTGCTTTTGGGGCTTTGGGGCTTGAGCGTTTTCGGGTAGAACTAGAGTGGGCTTCCTTAAAAGGAATTCTGCCAGTGTTCTATAATAGGGTTCTATATTGGAGGCTGTAATAGTTAGAAAAGGGTTTTGGGTTATAAGCTATATATATACTAAGACTTATAGGAAACCCTAACAAGTATCATTTAGGCTCGTATGGTGTTTGGAGTTTATGGGTTTAGGGTTTGGGTCGTTCGGTTTCAGTGCTCTTTCTAGGGCCGTGGTACTTTCAATCGCTCTCGTTCTTCGGGAAAGACCCCGCAATGCTCACCGAAATCATCTGGTCTAGAGTAGTATTGATTGTATGACGATCTTCTCGAGGGTCTGTGGGACCACATGTTGAGCCGACTTGCGATAGCTCTCAGCATCACACCGGCCCTGGCGGATAGTAGTCCCAGTGTCCCAGCAGAAGCCTGAGCGAAGGCGGACAGCCAGAAATTGCGGCTGCTGGTCCCCACGGAGCTTTTTGGGTCTGTGGACTCCTCAAGACTGTTTCGTTGGCCCGTTCTCCCAGTCTCCTGAAGTCAAGCAAGGGGTACACTATGTAGCGGTGCCGAAAACACTTTTGAGCCTTGAAAGCACCGATTTACTTAATGGTTCTATAAAACTCCCCAAACACCCATATACCACCCGAGCCCTGGGGCCATGTCGTTGGACTAGATCAGGGGGTTGACCAGCGAAGCAAGTGAGAGGAGTAACGGTGATTAGTGGCCGTGGTGATGATGATCACGTCAGCAACACGTATATTCTATTGGCAGTGACGCTGAGGCTACCTTGTCTTGCTCGTATAGTCTGACTGGTCTTGCTATGGTTGTTATCAGGTGCTGTGCAGGCGACATTCCTTTTTTTGGTAGTGCGATGCAACAGTGAAGGCTCTTCGAACATGAGGGGGCAGGAATCGTCACAGGGTCTTCCAACTGCCCTCCGGGATTCCTCAAGCCCACGCCGTGGGCCTTAAACCCTAACCAAGCACCGACCCCTAAACTGGTACTCCGACTGAGCAGGAGGAACAGTGCAATCAACAGGACTAAAACCGTCAACTCAAAACCCTAAACCCTGAATCCTGAACCCCAACCCCTGAACCGTAAACCCACTTTTAACAAAGAAGCCCTAATCCCTCAACCCTAAATCCTGAACCCTGAACCCTAACCCCCCAAACCCTAAACAGCCATCCCTACTCTGCTCGCTGAGGTCATGGGCCACCGTGGGGAGACCTTGCGCAACATCATCCAGACCAGCCGGGCCCAGGTCTTCGAAGCGCCGTAGGGTTTGGGGTTTGGGCTTTAGGGTTTAGGGCTAAGGGTTTAGGGTGAGGTCTTCCAAGCGCTGAGGGCTCTCATAACTTAGGATTTAAGGCTTAGCGCCGTGTTTTTGCTTTTTCTTTTACGGTTGGTTGAGGCGTGGGATCTTGGGGTTTGGGGTGTAGGGTTCAGTTATGGTGTGGGCTTTAAGGTTCAGGGTCTTTGGGTTTATAGGGTTTTAAGTTTAGGAAGATTAGGTTTGTGTTGTGTGTTTTGTGCAGTGTCTTAATATTTAGGGTTTGGGGCTTAAGATTTCGCATGTGGGTTTAAGGACTTGCGTGTGTCACTTATGGAGGTAGCAATATGAAGGAGGCAGCAGAACAAATCACGGAGTTGGCATATGTAATTGGCTCATTTTGGTCGAGATCGCACGGTTGACAGTTGGACAATCGTTAGTCATGATATGCCCTGCAAGGGATTCCGACGGCGACGGTAATGAGCGCTTTCTTCAGCATGCGGATTGCAGACTTTCCGATTCTAGGTCCGGCTGTGAGCATCTCCAGTTCCCGAATCCCCAAATCCGACTCCCCGAATGTCTGGACCCTAAGCCCTAAACCCTCAGCCGATACCCGGGGGAGCTCCAGCTGAAAAGACCGGCGTACGCGGAAACTCGCTGTCGCTGTGGGCTCAAACTCGTCGAGATCACTGTATGAAGTCACGAGGCCCGGTAGGGTTAGGCTTGAAAGTTTCATTTGTTAGGGTTTTCGAGCTAAGGCTTCAAGGTTTTGGTTCTAAAGTCTAGGTTTCCGAATTTGCACTTCAGTCCTAAAGACCCAGAACGAGTCTTATCCTTGATCTATTTCCTCCAAGTCCCTTGGTCCCAAGCCCTTTGGAGCTTACGTGTCGAGCCTCATTAGCGGCCGAAGTGAAAGTACTCATCCCGACTCCAAACGTAAGGTCCGAAAGGCCATACACATCCTAAGCCCCGGACCTGCAGCACCCTACACCCCAGGGTTTAATCTTGACGAACAAATGCGTGCAACAACCCTAAACTGTAAAGGACGCTAAAGCCTCCAGCCCAGCGAGGCCCAGAATCCCGAAGAACAAACCCGCCATGAATCACCGACACCAATCCGAAAACCAGAGTATCAAGACCGTGGAACGCTATCACATCTGAGAGACCATAACATGATCCGCCCCAAACCCTAAACCCCGAACTGCCCCCAGAGGGCTTTCGAAGCATGGATTGTGCAGTCGGTACCGACGCCTTCAAAAAACAAACCGCCCCGTAAACCCTAAACCCTAAACCCCAACCGTCCCTGTGAGGTTTTTGCATCCAAGTCTGGCCGCCCCTTGGGTTTCAGGCGCCACGGGGCGCCCGGGCGAGGCAGACCGGTGATGTTCGAAGGCTTGGATCCACCTGGCATGTTTTCCAGCCTCTTAGACTGTGATCAATATTAATAGTCATCATCAGAGTTTTACTTGTAACACATATTGATAATAGTATATACGAAAAATGTAAATGCTCATAATAAAGTGCAACAACTAGTAACTAATAACTATATCAATAACAATAGGCGTAAGAAATACGTTTTCGTCAAATATTTTGTCGTCTCGGATCAACTGTCAGTTTATCTTGATTCGGGCTGTGTTCAAAGTGAGCTTAGGATTTTTGGGGCTTGGCACGGGGTTGTCCACCCTTACAGTGGCTGTGACCGCTTTGGTTGTGGTAGTGGTTGTTGTCGTGGTAGTAGCCGTAGCAGGTGTGATTGCAGTTGTGGCAGTGCAATTTTTTGTCTTTGGCTAGGCTTGGGGGGTTTAGGCTAGATGATGTGGGCCGCGATGTTGAAGACACGAGGTCGCATCAATGAAAGCGACATCGATCGAAGCCCTTTGCCCGTCAAGCAGACGGACATGCTCAGAAAGTCACTATCTTGGGACCCATGTGAGATCGAGGATGAATGTGCGGTGGAAGAGCTCTTGGATCTTCTTCAGGACGCGAAGCTCACGCCATTCACATTGTTTTGCCGCCCGGCTTGCATCATGTGCTGCTTTTAATACAATATGTTCTTTATACATATATGTTTATATGTACATACACACGTTGCCCAATAGATCTAGATGTAGTACATATGTACATATATATATATATATATATACACATACAAATATCATGATATGGGCTTTGTTCAGGTATCGTATGCAGGGTAATACAGAAAGACGAAGTGTAAACAACAACTAGTATTGTACAACACATATTACAAAGCATGTGCTAAATGACAATATTTTGTATGTATATACGCATACCAACCGTCAGTACATAATACACCAAGTACACCACCTAATATACTACATAGGTCTATGAAAAATGTTTTTGTGTTCGCTTTTGTTATGGAATGTATGTGTATTCACATATGTCTGTATATGTCTTCGCCTAATTTACAACATACTGTGGCATGTAGTATTAGACGTAAGTATTAGTGAGTAGACTTAGTGTACATATGTATATATATATATATATGTATATACACACCCACGCGTGTTCCACATAAGACTTTGGTAAGCGGTTGCAGAATGTAGTACATAGTTCATAGTTTACATACACAATGCAGTGTATAGTCTAAAGCATAGAGTACATAATACACGGAGTCTGGTATTTGGGCTTGAGTATGCAGATAGACTGTCTGTATGCATATCTGTGTATATGTATGTACATGTATATATGCACACCGTATGCTATGCAACATATATAACATATATGATATAGGCCGTAAGAAGTATTCTTCGGTATATGTTATACTAGGACATAACGCAGTTCACCATTAGTACAACAGTATGGGCACATGTATATATATATATATATATGTAGCATCAGAAAGCCACGTTTTTTCGTATCATTTCATACAACACTATGTTACACTACACTATCGTACATTTCATGTTGCATATCGCATGTTTGACAACTTGACTGTATGTCACATTTTTTCAGAGTTTGTTGTAAGATATTTTCATTATATACTGTAGTCTCCGCAGTACGTGAATATGATACATTAAATTGAGCCTTATGGAATACTAAATATGTATCAGGTTAGATATTACGCATTGCATAACATGTGTAATGCAGGTATTTCCGTTCCGGCGCGCTATTTCTGGCGCATGAGATATTTCGTATTGTATACTATATACTGCAGACTACATACCATATACTACGCATATCATCACGAAATACGATATGCCGCATGCGTTGTTCATTATATGTATATGTATATATACCCAGATTCTAGTATTTTTCATATCATGATATGATGCGATATCGAGTTTGAAGGCATGTCACACTATGATATGTTGTGTTATAGCATGACACATAATGTGTTTTGTTATGCCTGCTATTTGGTGTCATCTTATACTGTTTCATGCTTGTATTGTCGTATATTATGTCAGAATCAGAATTTGTTGTACTCGTTTACATATTATGTGTCAATTTATTGTGTGTTGCATCCTTTCCTACTGTATTCTAATATGTCATTTCAGGTTATGCTGTGAATCCTATGATCGCGGTGTATTGGTTGACTTATTTGTTATATACTGTATACCATATGTGCTGTATCATACATTCCATACTGCTGTTCACCATATGCACTTATTATCTGCTTCATTTTGTACAAATGCAGTTATGTACACATCTTCATATGCCCTTGTGTATGTATATGTTTATGTATGTGTTCATGCTCATGTCTATGAATATGTGTATGTGTATGTATATGTTTATGTACATGTCTATGTGATTGTATGAATATGTATAAGTGTATGTACTGTGGTTCTACTGTAGTCTTTGCCATTGTATCCTATACTATTCCATATTCTGTTCTACTTTATTCTGTTCTATTCCATGCCAGTCTTTCTGTTCTCATATATACTATAGATCATGCATCATTGTTGTGCGTATGTATGTGTGTGTGTATATATATATATATATATATATTCACGCACACATACAGCATGCCGTACAATCGTTTGTTGGTGGCCTCCAGCAGTCCTGAGCCCAGGTATCAGCGTGAGGCCCTGGGATGAAGCCAGAGAGCTCGAGGCCTTAAAGTTAGTCTTCGGCATGCTCACGCAGCTCCGGAACCAGCCGGAGGTGCCTCCACTCCCTCCTTTGCCCTCGAAGTTGGGTGTCCGCAGACCCTCGACGCTCGGAGCTATCGGGAGCAATATGCCGTTGAAGATCCCCACAGACGTTGAGATTCCCCCTTTTGCCGACCGCAGCTTCACGTTTCCCACAGACCATACTACGGATCATGTGGACAACATGGAGCTCTTGGGCCCCGCAGCCTTTGACCAGCTGGATTACAGGGACCTCATAGGCTCTCTGACCTTGGGTTCAACGGACTACGGCGAGATGGTGAGGTCCATCTCTTTTGACATCCCCGCCGGTGGAGGCTATGGTCAAAGACCTCCAGCCCCGCGTCTCCACCGCTTCCACGTGCGCGGTAAAGCTGAAGTCTTCGCCGAGGATGGAAGATCATTCACCAAGAAGCCGCTCGGATGTTCTCAAAACTCTGAGGAAAAGCAGACAAGGAACACCCAAGATTCAAGACCTGAAGCTGCCCTACCGGCCCCCTACAGGCACCCCAGCCCTGTTCTCTCCGAGCCGAGGCAGAAGGGCCGGTTGTCTCTGGTGTCTGAGGATCGCGTGCACAAGAAAGGCCGGGATTCTCTTTCATGGCCTTTTCCTTCTGATGTCGATGACTAACTTAGATGGTGTTGGTGACGAGGACGATGACGATGATGGTGGTGCTGCTGAACACCTGTCTGAGGGTCCTCTTTGCAACAGCAGCAGGTATGCCATCAATCTAGCTAACGAAGCAGTTCTGGCCAGCGCCTCCGAAGCAGTTACCCCTCTTTATTCGCCGCCTTCATGCCCAACAGTCCTGGCATCCTCGACATCGGGACTACAAGGCCCCCTAAAAAATACAATACTTGTATCATAACGCTAAACGCTAAACCTTCTCACTCAAGTCTAAGGCCCTTTGTAGAGATCATCTAGAACCCGTTTGTTTGGAACAGTTCACGAATCCCAAGCCGTCTTCATTTTGTGAAACCCCAAGACCCAAGCTGTGAATCCCTGAACCCTGCATCCACCATTTTCTCGGAGCGCCACACCGTACCTGAAGACGCCCCACGATTTAGGGTTTAGGGTTTAGGGAGCACTGTAGGAATTTCACAGCAGCCAAGATTCAAGTAGATATGCAGCTGCTGCAGATCTGGCTGAAAGCTTTCAATCCAGCATGCAGTCCACCCGAAACTGCAAGACCGTAAGCTAAAACTCCCAACATCCGAACGCACCCCCTAGCCGTAAACCCCAAACCCGAAATCCTAAACCTACCTACAATCCTAGATCAGTCGGAAAAAGGAGCGAAGAAACCCACCTCGAACCGTCATCCTAGATTCACACCCTCATCCGCAGAGGTGTGGAGAGGTACCAGGTCTCTTTTCTGTCCGGTGAACTCAGCCGGGCAGATGGCGTCGCGGGGCACAAATTGCTGCGTTTTCAAGTCATGGGATGTTAAGTAGGGTTTTTAGTAGGGCTCTGTGGGGTCTAAAGGAGTTGTTTTACGGGTTTGTATAACAAACTCATTGGGAATTTCTCATGCCGGGATGCTTTCGAGCAAGCATCTTTGTGTCAGGCACCGCAGTTCGCTAAAGACCCTGACAACCACCAGAAAAGAGGAACAAGACATAAACATGAGGATTCGGGCCTCGGGGTTTAGGTTGCTGGATCGCGTGGTTGCGGTATCAGGGCCAGACAACGTGGGATTTCAGACACGCGAATAGGGTTCGGGCTTTAGGATGTAGGGTTTGTAAACTTGGAGGCTCACGAAACCTCAAACTCTAAAGCATTACCTCCTAAATCGGGATTAAGGTTTACTTAAGGGTTCCTTTGAGGGTACTTTTAAGGTTCGATCAAGGGTTGTCTTAAGGGAATGTCGGCTTAGACTTGCAAGTATAGGGACTGAGTGGTTAGCGGTTTTGGAGAAAGCAGCAATAGTAACCGTTAAAAGTTCCCCTATCATGAGTCTGAGTATCAGTACGCAGTAAGCCAACACAGCTCGAATAGGCCCTACTAAGTACCCGTAGAATAGGGGCTCAAATAATTACCAATACTATTTGGGGTTCCTTACTATAATTATGATTATAGTAGAATATACCCCCAAACGCTATTCTAAGAATTCAGGCCCCTACATTAAATCCCTTGTGTATACAAGGTTGGTATCATCTTCTCCTCGCACCTGCCGAAGAACTCCGACATCCAGCAAATCGTGTCAGTGTTCCTTGAACTGGTGGTTTAGAGTTTTGGCTTCTGGGTATAGGGCTTGGGGTTTAGGGGCATGAATCTTTGATAAGGCTTGTACGGGCGTGTGTTCCGCTTCTATAACGGTGGTTGCAGGGCTTCCGTAGAGTTTTATGTGCAAGAAGAAGCAGAAAGACATGCCAAGCCCAACTCAAACACCCCCAAAACTCCTCAACTCCAAAGCCCTGTAAAACCGAAACCCGAATATTCCCAGCAGCCAGGGAATCTAACAAAAGCATCGGAGGGTAGAGGGGTTGCAGTCATGTGCACGGATATCTTTACGGAGATGCCCTCTTGGTAGACTCGTCTATCACTGTTCTCGTTTATCAATATTGTTGTGGAGCAGCAGGCCTCACACTGAGCAGAATTGCGCTTTGGTCAAGTTTTCGCAAGATTTTGAAAGCTCGCTCCACTGTCCGGAAGCCACCCCTGTTGCAGATTCCTCAGCCGAAAGCCTTCGGGCATGTGACCTCCCTCAATAGGATTCCTAAACCTGGATTGCAAGCAACTCTTAAATCCGAGGCCCTTACTCCCAAACCCGTCAACCCCAGACCTTAATTTCCGCTGTTCTTCAAACTTAGCTCCCAAAGCAGCATCTTGTTGTCCCGAAGCTGTGAATTCCAGAGGGTGGTATGGGTTTAGGGGTTTGGGGGTTTACCGTTTGCAGCTTGGTTTCCGGTTTAGGGTGATGCCCAAAGAGACTTATAGCCCTTTAGCAACTTTAGTAAAAGTTCTAGATTCTCGGGAGCTTCAAGGTATGTTCCTTAACTGAAAGGGTTTCGGGCTCCGCGGGTAGTTCAGGTTTCTGAATCGCACTGGCCGCCTGTGCAGCCGTGTGAACCAGCGTGCACCCGGGCGTATTACGAGACCCTCCACAGTGTTGGGTCCGGTTGGGTTGAGGTTCTGAGGATTTCGGCTGTGGGAATGGCCGGATTTAGGGAAAAGGGTCTTGCATTCAGGGTTTGCAGTTTGGGACCCCGGCTGCAGGGCCATAGCCCAGGCTGCTTGAAGCTTGATGAGGCTTTCCATGGGCGTCGTTTGCATGATGAAGACTGCAAGATTAAGAGGATGATTGGGGTAGTGTAGCGAGTGCGAGCTGCGAGCGTCAGCGCAGACCCGCAAAGATGCGTTTTCCCGCGTAATCTTCTCGAATCGCGGGGCCGTAAAGCGGCTCAGGGGCCCAACAGCAGGAGGTTGCCAGTCCTAGAGTCCTAGATGACATCAGAATCGAGGCCTCGACCCTGATCCCCTAAACCCTACTTACATCCTCGACTCCTGAAGCCTCACCCCTGATACTGTTTTCAGGTAATCCGCATTGCCTCCACTCTCCCGCAAATCGAGTTGGGGGATGTCATTGAGGCCATGTGGAGGGGAACTCAGGGGTGTCGGTTGAGGGTTAAGGGTTTAGGGTTTAGGGGGTAAGGGTTTCGGGGTTAGGGATTCTGGGCCCCTCAAAGTGCAAGTAGCAAGCAGATCACAGTTTCATCGTAATATGAATGGAATGGCTAGTAAGCGTGGAAAATACAAGAGTACACACAAGATTGACAGCACTAATCACAGTAGTCACAATAATGATGATCATCGAAACACTAGCCCACAGCACCGTTGTTTCAGTCACACAGCATGTCGACGCGAAGGCTCACACTCCAAGACAAGTTGTGTGTAGAGAGCCCGCAGGGGGAAAACTGGTGCCGTCGACAGTGATCTGCTTTCATAGACAGCCAACTCCCTGTTCTGATGGCTGCCAGCGAATCTGCGAATGCTATCATCTAGAAGCTTCAATCAACACCAATGCCATGCCCTGGGATACATCAGTACTTTTATTCTGCAACATATCCTGAAACCCCGTTCTAATCATGAAGGTCCGAAAACTGATTAGTAGTTTGAAGTGCTGGGCTTCATCTCTTTGCTTTATCGGTCTTCTAGACAACCGGTGACTCTACGCGCCAAGATCTAAACTCTCCAGCCGGAAAAGCCCCACAACTGTATACGCGACGGCTTGAAGCGCCGAGAAGCGAGCTTAAAGAGCTGAACCTGGACCCTAACCACCGTAATATAGTAGAATCTCCATATGCTCCCGAAACAATCCGTGTATCAGTTTACTCAAAGAGCTGGAATCAACCCGAAAAGGTGGAAAATGACATCGACATGCGCTGCGCCACGTTCACTATCTGGTCCGCGTCTGGTGCAGCTCCCGCTACGACAATGGTCAGCTATGTTCAGGTGCCTGCAGTTCAGCGCTTAGGGGTCATTAGTACAACTAAGCTCCTCGACTACCAGCCAACCCCAAAGCGCAAAACAGCACAAGAGTTGGAACCCCTTGAGCAACCCGCAAAACCCCGCAGTACTACGCAAAGAAGTTCAACCTCCGCACTTATTGTTGTTCTTGCTACAACACAACAGCATCAACTGGTACTGCTACTACTGCTACTACTACTACTACTACTACTACTGCTACTACTACTGCTGCTATTACTACGACTACTACTACTGCTGCTGCTACTACTACTACTACTACTACTACTACTACTACTACTACTACTTCTACTACTACTGCTACTCTTGCTTTTCTCCTGCTCCTATTCCTACTCTACTCCTACTCCTACTGCTACTGCTGCTGCTACCACTTCCAAGACCACTACCACGACCACTACCACTGACGGCCATGTCGATGTCGGCAGGGACTGGGAGCATTAGTTTGAAACGAGAGCCGATCGGATTCCAGGTGGCAGAACAGCTGACGGCTACGCCGGGTCAGTCTATTCCTGGCCACCTTGCCGTAGTCGCCCCTTCGCTCCGCATTGTCATGTTGTTAATTGTAGAGACTACGGGGGTCTCCTAGGTTTGGCTTGCCATTTTAGAGTGTCGGCTAGCGGTTGGGGTGAGTCCTCTTCTCTCTCATAGCAAATTCGGATTTCGGGTCTGCAGGGATCAACCGGCCTCTCCATGCGCTTGGAGTGGAGTTTCCGGCGCGATTAGTAGGTTCTTGCGACTTCAGGTTTCACGAAGATCAGGCTGATTGATCTGCTGTTCTGAATACTGCGGCAATTTGCATCGCGCAAGAATGCCTCCTGCTGTACGGGTGCTACTCAGAGCTGCTACTCATGTTCTTCATATCCGCAGTCGTAGTTGCAGCTGCGGTCGCATGGCCAAAATGTCAGCCGCTTTCGTCGAAGTGTCATGGAAGACAGAAGTTCCCTCAAGGGCTCCCCGATACGGGATACTATAAGAGAGTGGTATCGGCAGAATACATCTTGTAAATGTATTCTTCTTAGAGTTCCTATCCTTGGTATATGTGATTATTCTTGACTGGAATATACCCCAAAGCCTTTTTCTAATATTGCCGCCCGGATATTCCAGCCCGGACACCGGCCTGCCAATATTACACATGCAACTTACGCAAAACGAGCTCTGTCGCTTCTGCCGTGTTAATGTTACATACTTCAGGTTCCGTGTGGGAGGGTAATCAGCCAAACCTTGAACCTGAAATCCTAAACCCCAAGCCATAAGGCAACAGCCATGGATAAAAAAGGTGGTGTCAAGAAGAGACCTTACCTGCCATGGTTGAGATTCGCAGCTCCGTTATGACAGCAAGAACCATAGTGTTTGAAACGGGGTTCCCCATCGGGGTTCCGTGCGTGTTCTATGGGGCTTAAGGGTTTAGGGTTCAGTCATCTACATTGCCTTGCCTCGTGACCCCAACGTATACCAACCTGCTGCAACAAGATACCCCCAAAAGCATTCCGCACATGGCCAGCTTTTTCATTGAATCCGCTCCAAGTTTGCCTTCCCAACCCCAAACCCCAAAACCGCCAAAGCCTGAAAGCCAAACTGATACCCCAAACTGTCAACAGTGACAGCTCGCAACAAGGTGAAGAATCCGGGCGTGTCTGTCGCATTCCTGAGCTGATATGGGTTCCTGTGGCAGCGCAGGTGTACAGGTCCGGCAATTGAGCCGTGCCTTCTTTTCCAAAGTCATAACGGCGGTGAGTTTCACCCCTTTCCGTTCAGAGACAACTGAAGCTCTTTTGTGTTCCCTAACGCTATGGTGGAGCCCGTTCAAGGAGCACAGCGGGCACATCTCGTAGCCCACGATGTGCATTCCTATGGCATAGCTGCCGGCACATACACCAGACATCATGCCCTGCCAGACCCTACACCCTAAAGCCTCAAGCCTAAACCTCTAAACCCCTGAGCCCCTAAATCCCAACCTTCAACCCGAGGTCTTTTCAACCCGAGGTCTTGCCCGTGAAGCTGTCGCAGCTGTGATCTTCAGAGCGGGACTAAGCCACTTTCTCTCCGTTTCACATCTACGAGATGGGTGTCCCGACGCGACAATCCTAGATTTAGGTGTCCGGAGTGTTCCCTCGTATCCTTATCGGGGGTTTTAGGGTTCCTTATTCCAGATAATTATGAAAGTTACATATACCCCAAAGTCCTATTCCAATTCTGAAGGCCCCTGTATTTTACGCTCCAGAGCCACCTGAAGGCCCTTCGGACGGCCTGAATCGTTCTGAGCTGCATGCGGCCCTGTGTGGCCACAGACTTATATCGAGACCGACAAATGGAACGGTACGATGGGCAACTGAGAGAAGCAGGGATCCTATGTGTTGCGTGACGACTTGTTGTATCTGGGCTTTAAGCTGGGAGAGAGGAACCCTGATTTTGAGACTTGCCCATGTCTGTGTTTAAAGAAGCAGCTGCGAGGCTGGACATCCTGGGTCAGAATGCTACATCTATTTGCTGTTGTCTTGAGGCTTCCTGCCTAGGTGCGGATCATGATTCGAGGGTTTGGTCCAGTCGATCGGCCCTGAGCCTCAAACCTTTAGGATGTGAGTTGCGTGGGTTTTCCCATGTCCTGAAGCTGTACTACGATGGCTAGCCGTCTCACTCATCCCACTGCCTGTTTTTCAACCAGTGGGAATGTGCCAAGTCCAGGCTTCGTATGTCTTCGCCTGACTACATGCTCGATATGTCGTCTTGTTGGCACATGCCCATGTGTTGAGTCAACGCCAGCTGTCGTGCTCTGTCCATGATCAGCTGATGTACCTGCGCAGAGGTCACGATTAACTGATTTTCCTAAGCCACACATCCCAACACCCTAGAACTCCATGCAGACGTAGTATAGTTCCCCTTCACCACTGATCTTGCTAACTCAGCTACTGGGCCGACCTGCCTGGGATAATGAGGGTGCAAGCCCGAAGAGGGCATACGGGTAGGGCATCTTGTTTTGCCTTGGTTTGTAGATGCTCAGGCTAGTGATGACGCCACGACGAGGTGAAAGGTTCTTTCAACCTCGTACCATGATCAAGACCAAAGAAATATTTGATGAGAACAGCAATGCATGGCTCTAGACGGGAATCCTACATGCACCAGTCGGACAATGCGCGCGTGTCAGATGGGCCCATGACCCCTTGTGAGAGTGGACTGCAGCCTTTGCCGAGGATCTGCCGCAGCAGCTGGCGGTTTCACTACATGGGAGCTTCCAGCAACAACTCGGGGATCATAAACATGCATGTGAACGGTGCAATAATCAAGGAGGCTGGCCTAGCTTGGAGTACATGCATCCTTCGGTATAGTGACTTCAATCGTCAATCTCGCGCGTCTCGTTTCGTGGTATTCAAGTACCCTGTAAGAAGTTCCCTGTAATGTCGGTATGGACACAGAAGCATTTCAAGACGTACGTGAGTCACCGGGTCTCGATGTACCGTGCTAGCGGTTGATTCACCCGCTCTATTCTGTTCGCCTTGTTAGTTATACGATATGCTATGTATTTCTTCATAGTTATTGTTACGATAATTGCCCATGTTGCTGCTATCAGTACCAAGGGCTACTGCTTCACTATTGTTACTGTTTGTAGTTTTTGCATCGGATTGTGATTGGCCTTGTCTCTCCTCTCCCGACTCGATGACACTGGTAATACCGCATGTGTTAAACGACCTGCACTAGCTCATGTGATTAGTTTTGGGGAACGGGAAACAAGACTTGCGTGGGCCATTTGTGTTCCGTTTTAATCAAGCCAGAATCATAACACACAACAGATTTCAGCATGTTTGACCCCTGGTGATGAAGTTGGCATCTACCTTTGCTCAAGATTCTGTCAACGTCGCTGACCCCTACTAGCATTGCTGATACCAGTGCTCAGTCTGAGTAAAAACGAGTCAAGTCTAACCCATGTCAAGTCGATTATTCAGCTGGTGATGGGATGGGTGGCCGAGGTGGTTGTGGCATCACCACCTTCTGCTTCTTCAAAAGCATCACCACTGTACCGTCGTCGTCACCTTCTTCTGCTTCATCACTATCGTTCTCATCATCCATTGCCAGAACTTAATTAAGGTCGGGACGGTTTCAGCACCATCCCGTTGCTGGAAGCACCCACATCTTAGCGGTGCGGTGTGCAGTGGTATCCCCATGCTAGCAAGCTGGCATTCAAGCATCGATTCTTCACGTCCTTGAAGTGGTCTAGGCTCAAGAAGATCTGTGTGCATTCTCAACTGGGGCCCAAGATGAGAAGCCCTCCCAGGGGCTAGCACAAATCTCACTCGCGTCGAGACGACGGAACATTCCAATGCTTCTAGCTAGAGTGTACTTCTCCAACAAAGCGGTTACGCGGTCTGTGACAGTCTTGTCGGATGCTGTACCGGCCCTTGAAGTCGCAGAATCGTGTCGCTAACTGTTGGAGGAGAAGTTCAGCCCGTTTGCTGGGCACTCTTTTGGTGCAGCCTGGGTTCGGATCCGCTTTTCTGCGATGTTTAAAATACTGCCTCGTGTGCAGACCTGTGCATTGGGCTCAGTTGCGCAGAGGCCGTTCAACGAGTCATCCGGAAGTGTGAGTCCCCACTTACATTCGGCAAATTTCAACTACTTCAGAACCCACGACAGGAGCCGAAGCAGACAACCAAGAGTTATCAAGTCAGATGCAATCCATTTGATCGTCCAGAATCCCGATTCAACTGGATTTGTAGCCTGCATTGTCCACGCTGCCGGACGGAAGCCACAGCCAAAGCCGAAGCGGCCGGGACAGGTCCAGCAACACAAAGCTGAGCAGCTTCAGGCAGCTGCGGGCAATCAGGGAGTGCTTGAGGGTCGAGCCTTGCAAACCCCAACCCTACGCCCCTAAACCCGAAGTCCTGTAAAGATGCAGCAGTGCAGCCAGGATGGGGAAGAGTACCGGTATCGGCTTATGGAGATCAAGGGCACCGCCGCTCAGAAGCTCGAGGCAGGGCCGTTTGCTGGATGTCTTCAGGATGTTTCGGGCCTAGGGTTTAGGGTTCCGGATCCTCGGGGTTTCGATCTTCCAGGGTTTCAAGGTTTAACGTTTTAGAGTTTATTTCTTTAGAGATCTTAGGCCTAAGGGAGTGGATGTGAAGGTGCTTTGTATAGAAGTCTGCGAGCCTTGGCTCCTTCTGCCCGTGTTTATTGTCGTCAGCAAGATTATAAGTCTAAGTGCCGCTGCTTTGAGTACTTCCAGTCGTTGCAGTGTTTTTTTCGTTTCAATTGATTGTTCCTACTGTCTCCACCGTCCTGCGGGCTGCCACAGGCACTACCGCTGTTACAACCGCTACTGCTACCAGTACTCTTCTGCTACTGTATTCGGTGTTGCTACTGTTACAGCTACCACTACACCACTACACAAGAAGCCGAAGAGTAAAGCTCTCATCCCAGTGAACCTGGGCTATCCGCCTCCTCAAGCAATGGTGCCAGCTTCCTCCACAGGTGGTGCGTCAAGTCCACAGTAGCCTGGAGTTCCGCGGAAGGGATACAGGCAGCTGTGTTCTTCTGGACCATAGACTGCAGGGTTTATGTTTGAGTTTTCTCTAGAGGGCATCATCTCGATGGTCACATGCTGTGGTTGTTGTGGTTGTTGTTGGTGGTGGTGGTGCTGCCCACCAGTGCCTCGTGTGATCAAGAGTCCCATTTGAAGCGAGTTAAGTCATGCCCTCGGGTCCATCTGGCACCAGGAGATGTGCCTGCATTCCGCGAACGCACTCACTCAATGCCTCCCTTGCTCACGCACTCCTAGGTCCCTTCACCCCTTCACTCCCTAACTCCATAACTCCCTGACTCACTTCGCACTCGCTCACTCGCGCACTGCTTTATCGTGCCTGTATTTGTGGATTGTACTAGGCTGATTTCTGCTTACCTTTCTCGTTGCGATCGTTGTCGGAATCGACATAGCCATTGTTGCGGTTTTCAAGGTTGTTCTAATCTTCTTATCACAGTACAAGTAGCGCTAGGAATAGCCCAAGGCACAAGCAGCGATAAGAGCCGAGCCTCCCAGAGTTTCCGAGCCGGGGCGGGGGAAAGGTCCTGCCGCCAATCCGGCTGCCGGAGGCCAGGAAAGTCTCAGATGAAAAGGATTCCGTTCGGAGTTTAGGGTTTTAGGGATCAGGAGCTGTTACTTCGAGGGTGGTGACGCTGATGCTAATGATCGAGATGATGTTGACTGACCTTTTACCGCCAGTATTGTTGGTATTAGAAGTAGGACCAGAAGCAGTAGTAGCATCTGGTGGTAGTTGTACTAGTAGTCATAGCCGTGCGGCGGTGGTTGTTGTTGTTGTTGTTGTGGTGGTGGTGGTGGTGGTAATAGCAGTGGTAATGGTAGTAGTACTCCGACTCCTGCTGTTATTGCTGCTGCTACTGCTTGCTACTACTTCTGCTGCTGCTGCTACTGCTGCTACTGCTGCTACAGCTGCTACTGCTGCTACTGCTGCTGCTCGAGTGGTTTCTCCTTCTTGAAGTCGAAGGCATCGGTGGAGACTATTTCTCCCAAGAAGTACGCAGCAAGGTTCCCTGCAGGTGCGCTGTCATCCCTGCCTCACGAAAAGCGCGGCCCTCCGCCAAGAGTCCTAAACCATTGAACCTTTCGGCCTAGAGCTCTGAATCCCTCCAGCGCAAACTGCTCGATGT